ATAGTAGCCTATATTATGAAAAAAATATTATATTTTATACAATAAAATATACAAATTATCATGTCTATATATGAAAAGTAAAAGTTTAGTTTTTAATTTTTTTAGATAAAAGAAGAAAAGTGATAAGTTAATGAGTTTTTTTTTTTTTTTTTTTTTGCGCATTTAAGATGTTTGGAGGGGATCATATGGGTCTTTTGAACGACGTGATTATTTTATGCTTTTCTTTTTATAATTAATGGAACTTGATTTTTTTTTATTTTGTATAAATGATATTTTTGTGAAATATAAATTTTAAAATGTTTTTTATAATCGAAATGATTTTTTTATAAAAATTAATTGTTATACAACTAAATAAATTTGCATGCTATTTATATACCAAAAAGTTTTGCATAAATAGAGAATGTAAATAAAATTTTAAAATTATTAATTTATTCATTATCTATCTAATGTAATTTTTATGTTATTATTTCTAACTTTTGAAAAGTAATATTTTAAAATAATTATTTTATTTTATTATTAATACAATTATTTTTTTAAATAAGCACCTTAAACTAAAGGTTCCAAAATTTGTACTTTGATTGATATTCTAATTCGAATTCTTGATTTCTGTTGAAGTTATGCTCTCCACAACAATATCATCAATCAAATCAACTTATTTAATTAAATAAACAAGTTTTTTTTTTTATTTAAAATATTTCAACTTTGTTCTTTTATTTTATTTTATTTTTTTTTCTATGGTGATATAACTTGGGAAAGTGATCTCCAAATTAGTCCGTTTTTCCTTTCTAAAAGTTAAAAGCATTTATATTCAAAGCAAAAAGTTTATGCTTCGTATATCAAATCAATCAAAGGATTAAAAATGAGGGTTGGAAGATATGCCATGCGAGAGATATTTAACAGAAGTGGGGGATAATGGATTTTGGTGAAAATTTTTTATTTTGAGGGCGAGAAAACCATGGGAGAAGAAACTGAGATGAAATTTTCTTTACTTTTCCGTGAGGTTGGAGGAAAATTGTTAAATTAGACGTCGTTTGTTCAGTCAAAACGGTGTGTTTCATATTTCAATGCTGTTATCAATCCCAACCATCGGATACTAAAAATGAAACATGGCAGCATATGGAAGATGAATTGGCCTTTCCAGATCCATATACAATGTTAAAGCTGTAGATCAGGGTACACATGGAACTTGATGGGCAAATAGAGGCAGTTTTGATTCTATACATATTACAATTGAAAAGTTTCAGTTATGGTCAGTTATTTTACCGAGCATGGACATTTTGCCTTGGTTCAAACCATGCTCCCCGAGAGCTGAAGTTCGTTGGAACTCCCCATAAATGGTACTTTCCGCATAGTCGTCGTATACATGAGCAACTAGAGTTGCCAAATATGATCTGAATTCTAAAAATTTGTCCACTCCACCTCAATAAGATTCAATTTGATTTAATAAAAAATTCAATAATCCCAACCGATCCAATATTCCACTATGGTTATTAAATTGTCTAAAACCTGAATTAACTCTATCCTAAAAAGATTCAAACCTTAATAAACTAAAAAATTAATCCAAAATTAAATGACTCTAAATGAAGTTGATTTAATTAATTATGAACAATGTAGAACGGAAAATGAACCAAACCCATTGGGATCCGTAAAACGCAATTGTCAAATCCAAATCCAACTTGAAAAAATAAGGGTACTTTTAGTTTTAAAGTATATATCGAACAAATATGAGTTTGGTTAATGGAATCTTAACATCAGTTACTTTTTCAAGAAGGATTAAAAAATATTTTACAAACTAGTAGGGATAAATTTATTTTCAAACAATTATATTTCTTAATTGAATTATAAGTTAAACTAATTAAAAATTGATTTTATAGCAATTAAAGAGGATTTAAAACTAATTCAATATTTGAATAATATTTATAACTAATTAAATATCATAATTTTGTATTTAAAAATAAAAAATAAAGGAACAAATTATGGAATGATGAAATGAATAACAAAGGGGTATATTTGTCTTTTAATTTAAAATATTTAATATGTACTTGAATTATAATATAACTTCATTAGTATTTTTGAATTATAATATAACTTCATTAATATTTATTTCCAAAAGCTTAATTAATATTTAATTTGATGCTAATTAAATGCAATTTAGAAACTAAATAAATCTCATAATTTTCTAGTTAAAACAATTTTAAATAAAAGAGATAAATAAAAGTGAAAAAAATAATTCCTAACTAAATTTGTTTTTTCATTTAAAATTAACTTTACAGTAATTAACATTCGTACTTCTTCACAAGAATGAGTGTATTTGTTTGTCAAACGGTAATGGAGTTTAGAGGACTTTTCTCAACTAAATAAAGAAAGTGTATTTTCTATCAAAGCTCAAAAAATTCTTTGTATTTTTTTTAAAATAAAAAAAGAAAAAAAAAAGACTTGATTATTTAAGTAATAAACTTAAAAGGACTTTAGTCCTTCAGCATATAACTTTTCTTTTAAGGACCAAGAATCGTTTGTCATGGCGAAATCTCTTAGAAGATAAGTAAAACTGGAAAAGTAGTTAATATTAATTTTAAAAAATTAAGGTAAGATTTTTTAAAATTAAGTTTGATAGGTTACCACTTAAAAATTAATATATGAAAAAAAAAAAAAGGATTGATAGTTTGGATTAAACTGAATTAAGATTGGATTAAATTTAATGGATACTTTTAAAAATTTATTCAACATTGGGTTTGATAAATTAATATGTTTAATTTAAACTTTTTATTAAAATATTTTTATATTTATATTTTAATAATTTAAAAATAAAATTAATTAAAAAAATTATTTGATAATAACATATTCACATAAGTCGAACTCAACTTTGGAAATCTTGTCCAAGGCTTGACTCAAGTTGGGCAGACTCATAAGTATGCCGGGCCGCTGTACCCATGAACGAGACTATGGATAGATCAATACATAGAGACATGTATTATTTAATCAACAATTATTATGGAATGAAGATGATTTAAAACTATGCATAAAAAAATGATTTAAAACTAATTCATTCTTTAAACAATATTTATAACTAATTAAATCTCATATTTTGTATTTAAAAATAAAAAGCCTTCGATAAAAAAGAAATAAAGAATAAATTATAGAATGAAGAAATAAATAATATAGGGGTATACTTATCTTTTGATTTAAAATATTTAATATGTACTTGAATTATAATAAAATTTCATTAAAGTTTTTTAGATTTCATAAGTGAATTTATTAATATGACATATATCCTTTAAAAAATATTTAAAAAATCTAATAAAAAATTAAATATTCTCAATCTTTTAATCTTGTTTTTGATATTAAAAAATTATGTTGACAATGTATAAAAAATGAATTGTATTATATTAATATTTAATTTAATAATAATTAAATATAATTTTATAAGTAATTAAATCTAATAATTTTATAGTTAAAACAAGCTTTAAGAAAAACTAAAATAGAAATAAACAATTCCTACTTCTCCCTTCTCAATTTATTTGGTTGGCATTGATTTTTACGGAATTCAAAAAATTTTAATTTTAATTTATTTAAAATTAAAATTAAAATTTTTTTATAAAATTAAAGTTTCATCATTTTTAATATAAAAAAATTAAAAAAATTTTAAAATATAAAAAAGTTTTTAATGTTTAAAAATATATATAATTTTGAGACAATTAAAAAAATGAAAAAAAAAAAGAGTCAGAGAGAATAACTAATAAAATATAAATTAACATCATTGTTTTTCCAGGAGGATAAGTGTATTTTTTAACAAATGTAAAGGGATTCAGAGGGTATTTCCCAAATTCAATAATTTTACTTTCTATAGAGAGCCCTTGTATTTTTTCCTGAAACAAAAAACGAACACTTGAGTAGTATTTAAGTCTTTCAAGAGTCAAGAGTCATCTGTCGTGATGAGAATCGCCTAGAAGATACAAAAAGGTGGAAAAGTAGTTAAATTTATTATATAAAATTTAGGTAGATTTTTTTAATATTAAGATGTGAATCTCTTTGTCGTTTGGCATGACAGGCCGCTCCACCATGAACAATTCTATGAGTAGATCAATTACATAGAGATATGCATTATTTGATCAATAATAATAATATTATTATTTTTTTATAATTGATAAACAATTATTGAACAGTAAAATATTGTCATAATTTTTAATTGATAATCTTATTTAATATTAAACGTCATTCAAAGTCTTTTAAACTGCTTATATTTTTTTTTATTTAACAAAAAATTGTAATTATCTATTCAGGTTTTCAATTTTAACATGTTATTTATCTTTTGTTAAAGGTAATTTTCAGGAACATGCATGAGGGGAGGACCCTACGATAAGTCTTGGTTTCAAACTTGACACTTTTACACGTGTAAATGCGGATCGCAAATTTGTTTTATGGTGGGTACTTGACGAAAGACAGAACTGTGATAAAACAAACAAAAAGGAAAACTAGATCAATGTTGGAGTAATGGAAGAGGACTCACATCAGCATCTGTATGTATGCTTAAATTTGTAGTGTCAACGGTGTGAATATTCAATAAAGTGCTAGACTTTCCATTTTGATAATTAAAGTTTAATTTTAATATTTCTAATTATTAAAAAATTATACTAAATATGAGCCTTTCCTCTATCTCACCACTTATAAATTTGTTGTGTAATTTTTAGTGGTTAATATAATATTTTATAATATTATATAATTATATATAATTATGTAATCAAATTTAATATTAAAGATTATGATATTGTAATTAGAATTTTTCTTCAATAAATGAGAATCTTCTATATACAAATAAAACAATTTTATATGATATTTTCTTAGCAAGTAAATAAACAACTAGTTCTCTTCTAATATTAACCTTGCAATTGTAAATTCATAATTTCTCATCATAGTTTTCATTGCAGTTTTCAACTTTCCAATCTTTGGTTTCTTTTTTTTTACAAGATCTTCAATTGAAATTGCAACATGTCAAACTAGGCCTACATCAAGGACCATGTATGTGTTGTGGAATCAGTTTTAGGGGATCTAATTGGAGAAGATACAAAAGGTCTAGGTGGAATTTCCAATGATTGAAGGTTCCCTTGCAAGGATGGATCTACAATGGGGTCAGTGAGGGTAGCTGCCCCCTAGATCCTAGTATCCATTAGAAATTATTATAAAAGTTACTAAAAATTTTAATTCTTTTATAATTTGCTCCACTAAAAATTAAAATATATATATATATGACATTTCAAATAAAAAAATAAAATACATATGACAATTCTATAAATGTTCAGAAGAACAAAATTATAATTGTAATATAAATGACTTATTTTACAAAAATAATAGGATCACATATATAAATATAAACAAAATAAATATTTATAAATAATTTTTTATTCACTTACCATCATTTCATTTAAAAAAACAATAAAAGTAAAATAAAAAGTAATCTTCTTTTTACTTCACCTATAATTTTTCCTTTTGTCCAAACCTATCAAAATGATAGTAGGTAGAGAATAGAAGTAGAGAAATGACAAGAAAACAAAGAAAAGCCAATAAAGCAAAGAAAATTAAGAAGTGAACATTTTTTTCTTCCATCAATATATTGAAGTAAGTAATTACTTTTTTTTTGAATTTTTTCTTTGTATTTATTATCATATGTTTATGTGATAGAATATTTGTTTACTATTAAATGTTTTTATATTGGTAAAATAATTTGATTTTGGGCTTAATTTATGATTTATTTTATTTGTAATATAAGTGGATTAAGACCAAAGAATGTTGTTTTTTCTTAAGTTGATCAATGAAATAATTTAATTTTTATGAAATTATTTTTTATATATAAAATTATATAATTTAATTAAAATTCAAAATACATAATAAAATATGCATGTTGATTTTGTTTGCATAATTAAATTTCAATATCTAATATAAACTAAAACATTATCTTCGTATTTTTTAGAAATTATATAAACTAAATTATCTAATTTTATTAGTTGCGAAAAAATATCTTATTAAAAGAGAGTCAATTTTAAAGGAATCATGTGTAATTAATAACAGTGACGTACAATATTTTACAAAACAAGTTCATATTTAATTAGATCTAAAGGATTTTCATTGGATCCAAAGTTATGAAAAAAATTTTTAGACTGTTATCCTAATGAAAGAGATAATGTTTGAAAAGTTTATTTTCGTACTAAGAAACTCATAAAAAATAATTATAATGTGTTATCTTTGTGTATAAACAAAATAATATTTTATGCACTTGAGTTAATTTATATTTATATATTTTTATATTTAATATTATCTATATTAATTACCCCCACTGAACATAAATTTTGAATCCATCCCTGCTTGCAACATTTGTAGCAACCTTGGTCATTGATGATCGAGCTGTTGGATCAGATTGAATGCACCAAAGGCTCACTACAATCAGCTTCCGCGTTATTTCTTCTTCCTCCTCAGCTGTTACTCCATCAAGACTCAAATTCATATCCTGGTCAAGATGCTTATAAATCCATGAGGGAAAATATACTTCACTGGGGTTTGAGACACTCCAACATCGATATTTTTTCTTCCTCCAACCATTTCCATCACCATCATTCCATAGCTATAGACATGAGATTTATGAGAAGCTCCTCCAAAGTTTGGAGAAAACACTTCTGGAGCAATATATCCGGCTGTCCCTCTAGCTCCATTCATTGAAACCGTACTCTCTTTCCTTTTGCACAATTTAGACAGACCAAAATCGGAGATCTTTGGACAGAAGCTCTCATCTAAAAGGATATTGTGAGATTTTATGTGAAAGTGGAAGATCCTTGTGGTACAACCTTGATGTAAGTTTTCTAGTCCTCTAGCAATGCCAAGTGCAATGTCATACAAAGTTTTCTACTCTAGTTGATGACGTCTGTGAGATCCTTGCCTATATATGAACTTATCCAATGATCCATTGGGCATAAATTCATAAACCAAAGCTCTTTTTGATTTCTCAGAACAAAAACCAAGTAGAGTCACTATATTGACATAAGAAGTTCTACTAATGCTAGCCACTTCATTCATAAATTCCTCTCCATTCCCCTTGGATTCACTCAGGACTTTCATTGCCACTAGACAACCATTAGGTAATTTACCTTTGTATGCACTGCCAAATCCTCCTTGGCCTAACTTGTGTGTAGACACCGATTTTGTCCGGGTCTACTGTTTTATTTTTTTATAATAATAATATTTAACAAAACAAAACAAAAAAACAAAAAAAACCAAAACAGAAAAAAACAAAACAAGTAAACAAACAAAAAAAAAAAGAAAGAAGTCAAGGAGTTGGTGCGATGCCGAGCTGCCTCGACCAACTCCTTGACCAACTCCTTCTCAGCAACCCAACCAACCCCCCCGACCAGCTTCCTGCCAGCCACCCTACAGCTACCAACTAACCACCCTACAGCCAGCAAAATCCCACTTAATTGAAATTCTATAAAATCAACACATAAACTCAAAAAAAAGAGAACGAAAAAAATTTTTGAGGTGAGAGTTCTGAAACAAAAAATTGTTCCAGCTTGAGAGTTCAGGAACAGAAATTTTTGATCTACCCACCCAAACACCCAAAATACCCAAACACAAAAACCAACCGAAAACAACCACAAACAGAACCGCCACAAAAAAAAACCAAAACAGAAACAAAAAAAAAATACACAGTCCTCGCCTACGGCGAGGAACCTCAGCGCCAAGCTTCCTGCACGAAGAAGAGAAAGAAAGGTCAGCTTCAAAAAAAAAAAAAAAAAAAAAGGAAAGGACGCAGAAAAAAAAATTTTTTTTGGCCGAAACTTTGAAGACAGATCTAGGAATTTTGAGACTCCTTTTGGTGAAAAGGAGGTCAGATCTACGCTCAGAGGGTCGAGAAGAGCTTGTGGGAGAATTTTAGAATTTTTCGACCACCGGATACGGCGGTCGGAGACCGGCGGTGACGACGGACGGCGGCGGCACCAACGGTTGACCGGCGATCTGCTGAAGAAGAAGAAAAAAAAAGTTTTTTTTTCTGGAAAAATGAAAAACTGACCCAAAAAAAATTGAGCCTTTTATATAAACTGCCAAAATCAAAACGATGTCGTTTCATTAAAGGCCCAAAACGACGTCGTTTTAAGCCCGAAGATCCGCGCATCAACCCGCAACCCGACCCGGGATCCACGCGCCAGACCCGCGACCCGCTTTCTTCATCCGCTCTGCCCGGTCTGACTGGACCGGACCGAACCGTCAGACAAAACCGAACCGGTACTGAACCGTCGAACCAACCAGACCGAACCGAACCGTCGATCCAACCGCCGAACCGGTCAGACCGCCCGGACCAGCGTTGACTGGACCGTTGACCGGTCCGGTTCAGGTATTTTTTTTTTGAATTTTCTAATTTATTATTATTATTATTATTATTATTGTTATTGTTATTTTAAATATATTTTTATATTTATGCATGATAAATTTATAAATTTGTTAGAATAAATGTTTAATCGTTTTAATAATAATAAAATTAAAAACAAATAATAATTAAAATATATTAAAATGCTTTAAAATAATAATAATAATTTTCCCTGCCTAGATGTTGGAGGGAATAAAAATATTTTTCTAAAACAATAATTCTGCCTAGATGTTGGGGAATTATTGTTAATAATAAATAAACATAAGAAATTTTTAATTAATTTTCAAAATTTATTAAAATCGAACTTGCTTAAAAAATTCGCCTAGATGTTGGAGATTTTTAGAGAGGTTCGTATTTTCTTAAAAACGAAACCTTAAGCGCTATTTCTTAATCCTAGGTTTCTAAAACCCTTAAAAATCCAAAATCCATTAAATCCAAAACCGCTCGAAATCCAAAATCCTTAAAGTTCAAAGTCCGAAAAATCCTAAGGACACGTGTGAAAATTCTATTGAAAGTAATTTGTTCCCGAATGCCGCCTAGATGATGGGGTATTTAGGAAATTTTACTTCATTAAGTCTTTTCACACGAGTTCATAATTCATATTAATAATAAGATTAATAAATAAAAAGTATAATAAAATTAGGATTTTAAATATAAACAGTCGCACCTAAGCTCTGCCTAGATGTTGGAGAGTCGGGGTGGTCTCATTATATTTAAGAATCCAACTCTTAAATTGCATTTCATTTTACATGACATTCATTAGCATACATACGTTATCGTATTATCATCAATAATTGTCTGCATTATTCTCTCTTTAATTTACTCATGGTACTCTGCCTAGATGTTGGAGAGTCACCAACAATTTTCTGTAAAGAGTGTTATTTCATTTTAAGGATTGTTGTGTTAAATCTTAAGCGAAAAGGGTTACTTTAAATTCTGCCTAGATGTTGGAGAATTTTAAGATAATTCTTTAACTTAAAGATTTTCTCAATATTCCTAAATAAAAATTTTAGCAAAAAAAAATATTTTTTAAATAAAGGAAATTAATGTTAAATTTCAAATTAAAACCATTTTTATCCGACATTGAAAATAGTGCATAGTTGAATGGTACCAATTTATGGACGTTGTGGGGGTGCTAATCCTTCCCCACGCGTAACCGACTCCCGGACCCAACCTGATTTTTCGTAGACCGAAATATATCTTTTTGATAAACTTTAAACAACCTATTTTTATAGTTTTATTAAAAAGATAAACTTTTGGGTGGCCAATCACACCCTAATAAAGATTGGTGGCGACTCCCTCTTTTTTTATTTTTCTCAATTCTAAAACAACTCGTTTTTACGTCTGGCGGTCTCAAAATCGTTACGACAGCTTGGCGACTCCACTGGGGATTTATTTGAGAGTCAGGCCAAAATTTTAATTATGCGCTATTGACAATGGTTGGATTTAATTGATTTTATTTGATATTTAATTTAATTTCTTTTATTTTAATTTTTTTTTCTAAAAATAGTCATGTTAATAAATGAAATAAATTATGTGCTAGTTATTACTTCATTTTGATTTTGGTTTTTGATTTATTACCTTGCACATACTTTGCATATTCACTTGCATACATGAGCTCTATACCCGGACTCCGTCCTTTTAGGAGGAAGTGAAGTAGCTACGCTCTCGTGAGGTGATAACCTCCGCATTTGCTAGCGAAACACTTTCACTCAGATTGAACCCGTTCCGTTAGTAGCCTGTAATGGGTGAGGATCGGGGAGCCTTACTAGTCTATAATGGACGATGATGTGAGGAATAGTCTGGGAACCTTTAGACATGCAAATCTTAACCCAGCATATAATGAGCCGTAAAGTCCAACTTTAGGATAGAGCCATACTGTCCCTTTTGTGAAAAGATTACCTAAATTAGGACACTATGTATATTCTGTTATGCTTGTTCATTCATTTACTCAGTTTTATTTATTTGTTTTATTTACATTATTGATTTGTTTTATTGTCTTCAATTTTGTTGCATGCATCATATAGGTACCATTTTTAAAAGGGTATTGTTTTGGACCAATCTAAAAAAAAAACTTTCAAAAAACCTAAAGGATGTCATCTGTGTGTAAGAGCTACTTAGAGGTCAAGAGCCATTCAGAAGGTATTCAGAGGAAAGAAGGAGATTGCTTAGTAGATGGTCACATATCGGTGCTACTACAATCAGTGCATGTGGATCTCAGTCAGAATAATATATCAGAATTGGAAGCCATTTGGAAACAGTGGAGAATAGAGAAAAAAGAATCTTTTTCCAAGAAATACGGAGATGTGGCACTACTTATGTCTGTGAAGGTTGATGAACAGCTAATGAGAGCCGCAATACAGTTCTGGGATCCATCTTATCGATGCTTTGTATTCAACCAAGAAGACTTGGCTCCCACGATCGAAGAATATTCTTCTTTACTCCGGATAGAGTCTACCAATCAAGACAAGATCTATTGGAAAGAGCATAAGACCACTGGATATAGAAAAAAATTAGCCAAGATCATGCAAGTGGAGGTTGAAGAGATAGACAAGCACAAGAAAGAAAAAAATAGGGTTGACATCATTCCATCAGCTTTTCTGCTCGAGTACATAAGAAAGTATATTGATACCGATCAGGGGTCGGATGTGTTTGCTTTGGCCATCTATGGATTGATGATATTCCCTAAGGTTTTAGGACATATAGAAGCATCAGTGGTTGATTTCTTTGAGCAATTAGATAAAGGTATAAACCCTTCACCAACTATTTTGGCAGAAACTATTAGATCACTTAATTTTTGTCGAAGAAAGGGTGAAGGACGATTTATGGGGTGTGCTCAGTTACTATTTATCTGGCTCAGAAGCCATTTTTGGGGAAAAGAGAAGACATCATTTCGACCATTCTCCGTGCATTTCAGTCCTATCAAGGAGTTTATGACTAAAGAATGGAGAAAAGATTGGACAAAAAGTCAGTGGTTGGCATTCTTTTTAAAGCTCACTAGCGAAGATGTAACATGGAGGGCACCATGGATGCTTCCGATGGCTATCTTATATAGTTGTGGAGACGAGTCATGGGTACCTCTGTTAGGAATATGGGGGGCAGTGAGTTACGCGCCCCTTATGGTTCAAAGACAATATGATTCACGACAGTTCATCCCTATGACTCATAGGCTTGGTTCACTCGAGTTTGATTATGGAACACCCGGTTATATGAAAAGGGTTCGTGAAATCATCAAAGCATGAAAGCAGGTTAACCGAATGAGCCCAGCTAGACTCGCTGATAATGTTGCTGAAGGTTACCTTGCGTAGAGGATGAAAAGAGTTAACGAAATTAGGCCTCTACCAGCTGATGTTTCAGAGAAGTTGTCGGGGTCCTGTTTCAGTATCAGTATTGTCGACTCTTGAGATCGCTCAACGAGAGTTTGAGATTGAAAAGAAAAGGTTAAAGAAAGAAAATGTGGCTATGATGGATCAGGTTAACCAATTAAGATATGATTTGAAGATGAAAAATGATGCAGTACAGAAGTTGACTAAAGAACGAAAAGTATTGAAAGAAGATCTGCAAGATTTGCATCAAGAAAATAAGAAATTAAGGTTGGATAGTAGACCTTTGAAGGGATCCAAGAAGGATGTGGAAGAACTACGAGACATGGTGGAATATTGGAAGAACAGAGCTCGAGAGAACAAAGAAATGATCTTCACACTCACCAAAGAGCAACATGAATGGAAAGAAAAACTTTCAGGGGCCTCTGAAAAGGTAACAAGGCACCAAAGAGAAAGTGAAAAGCTAAAAGCTGAGCTAATGAGGGAACAAAGCAAGAACTCCGATTTGCAAAGCAAGAAAAAAGCCTTAGAGCATGAATTAATGAGTTTGGAGCTTCAATTGACAAGCAATCAGAGGCACATAAATGAGATTTTGACTGAGTGGCAAGATAGAGAAGATTATTGGGCTCGCACTTGTAATATGGAGGTAGATGCTCGAGAGATGTGGAGAGCAGAAAGTTTAGGGAGGCAGCAATACATCGAACACCTGACTGCTCAAATCTACAAGGCTGTTCAAAAAGCAGGCAACATGGTTGAAAAGGCGAAAGCACTGGAACGAGAGATTGTACCAACCCAAGGCCACAGTCAAAGATTATTGCACTTTTTTCATGAAGCTAGGGAGCAATATGCTCAAATCAAATGTTTTTATGGCTTTAATGCAAGAATGATTGGATGATGTGTAAAGACTCCCATGGTTAATGAAAGTTTCTTTTTGTTTCGATCGATCCAAGATAATACCCTAATTTGCATTTCATTCATTTCATGCATGCATTTTCATACTAACAATAATATCAACGACATTATATCATGCGATCTAATTCGTGGTTGATAAACTAAGGTTCAAGGATAGCAAAGCCAAGGAACCACAACCCGTCAATTTCGCATAGATATAATACTCGTTCCCAGACTCGAGCCATGGCAGAAGAGAATACAGCTAGGTTTGAAAGGGTCGAAAGGGTACAGGAGGAGATACAAGAAAGAGTGATGGAAATACAACAAAGAATTGAAGCACAAATGGCTGAATTAAGACAACTGTTGATTGGATCAATGAAAGGAAAATGAGTCGCTGGTGTATCTAGGACAGGAGATGAGGTTAATGTGGAAGAGCCATTATACCCTCCTGGATTCAATCCACCTCAAGTTCAGATTCAAGTTCCTCGGGGTATACACATACAACCACCAAGTGCGCAGCCATACCCCTATGTCAATCATTCTGCAAATCAGCAGTCGACCCACTTGAATGCCAATTCGAGACCCATCCCAGTCGATCCCATCATGGTACCAAATCTTGACGACCCTGTTGAGCAAGAGAAGTCTCACGAAATGTCAGAACCTGTTATAAATTCAAAAATTCAAGACAAATATGACCAGCTTGAAGAGAGGCTTAAAGCGGTTGAAGGTAATGACACTTATGGGGTTATTGACGCCAACGAGCTTAGCCTAGTGCCTGACTTGGTTATCCCACCAAAATTTAAGACCCCAGATTTTGAGAAATACGATGGGACAAAGTGTCCATCTGCTCATATCACCATGTTTTGTAGAAAGATGACGGGTTATACCCATAATGACAAACTATTGATACACTGTTTTCAGGATAGTTTGACTGGTTCAGCAGCTAAATGGTACGTGCAATTAGATCGAAATAAGATCAGTTCATGGAAAAACTTGGCCAAAGTTTTTCTTGCTCAGTATAAGCACGTCTTGGATACAGCCCCTGATAGACTGTCATTACAAAATATGGAGAAAAAGTTGACGAAAACCTTCAAAGAATACGCACATCGGTGGAGAGATGCAGCAGCCCAAGTACAACCACCACTGACTGAAAAAGAGATAACCGTGCTATTCGTCAATACACTGAAGGCCCCGTATTATGATAGATTGGTGGGAAATGCCACGAAAAACTTCTCTGACATGGTAATTTCAGGGGAGATGATAGAAAATGCTATCAAAAGTGGTAAAATTGAAGGGTCTGAAAAGAAGATAGCTACATTAAGGAAGAAAGAGCAGGAGACACATGTTGTCACTCACACAAATCCCCCACACCATCCTTTTGTTTCATATAACCCACACCCCCATTACTACTCTACCATAAACCAAATCTCTCAACAACCATACCATTACCGAGCCCCCCAACAATCGTTACCCAGATCAAGTTTTAGCCCTCAACCATCCAATTACACCCCAGCACCTCCAGCTCGACCATTTACTCGACCAACCTACCCAAACAGCAATCAAAGAAACTCACAGAATAATAACAATCGAGAAAGACCTCATTTTGACCCAATTCCCATGACATACACAGATTTGTATCCTCGACTTGTTGAAAAACATCTGCTTGCTCCTGTTATTATTGAACCTTTGAAACCTCCGTTTCCCAAATGGTATGACCCCAATGCACATTGTGATTATCATTATGGGAATCCAGGTCATTCCACTGAGCATTGTATTGCTTTGAAGCATAAAGTGCAGGGGTTAATCAATGAAGGAGTATTAAATTTTGATACCAGCCAACAAGGGACTCCAAATGTCAATGGAAACCCTCTACCAAATCATACCAGACCATCAATAAATGCTTTGATTGATGGGCAAACAAGTTACGTGAAAAGAAGAATAGAAGAGGTCAAAACTCATATGGCTAAAGTGTTTGAAACCTTGGTCAAAGCTGACATGCTGAAGTCGATAGAACCTCAAAATTACTCTGAAGCGGTTAACTCAACTGAAAGCTGCCATTATCACAGAGGTGCTCTGGGGCATTCTATCGAAAACTGTCACCAATTTCGTCAAGAGGTGCAAAAATTGATGGATGAAGGTCGAATAGAGTTTTACCAAGAGAGAGAAGAGTTGGTGAAAGTGTCTACCATTGATTCAAAGAATAAGTTTGGGCGTAGACCAGTAACTATCTATTATGATGAGAAGCCAACATCGAAGCTAGAAAAACCCGTCTCTCGACCAGTGGTGACAATTAAAGTTTCTGGCCCTTTTCCATATCAGAATGATAAAGCAGTACCTTGGAAGTACGATTATGATGTCGTAGTCAACCCAGATACTGCCAACATAACGGGTGTAGGAGGCATAACTCGAAGTGGGAGGTGTTATACCCCAGAAGCTCTAGAAAAAGCTAGAAAGGAGAAAGCCAAGGTAGGAGAAGAAAATGAAAGTCAGAGTGGTCTTGACACAACCCTAGAAAAAGAATGGCAGAAGCCAGTATCTGAGAGTGAAGCAGGTGAATTTTTAAAGTTAATAAAACATAGCGAGTATAGCGTGGTAGAACAGCTTAACAAGATGCCAGCTAGAATTTTACTATTGTCATTATTGCTCAGTTCAGAGTCACACCGTAATGCTTTACTGAAAGTGTTAAATCAAGCATATGTGTCTCACAATGCTTCTGTTGAATATGTGGAACAGCTTGTTGGCAATCTGACGATTTCAAACTATATCTCTTTCAGTGATGAAGAGATTCCTCCTGAAGGTAGAGGAAGTACCAGGGCTCTTCACATTACTGTGAAATGTAAAAGTCATATAATGGCTAAGGTTTTGATTGATAATGGCTCATCCATCAATGTTATACCTGCGACTACTCTGGCAAAACTCCCTGTTGATGGATCTTATATGAAACCTAGTCATATGATAGTGAGAGCCTTTGATGAAACCAGAAGAGAAGTGTTGAGAGATATAGAAGTGCCATTGCAGATTGGCCCATGTACCTTCAATATGAAATTTCAAGTTATGGACATCTCTCCTTCATATAGTTATTTATTAGATAGACCGTGGATCCATATGGCAGGTGCTGTCCCATCCTCATTACATCAAAAAGTCAAATTTATTGTTGAAGGGAAGCTAACATGTGTGGCAGGAGAAGAAGATTTATTGGTAACTCAACCGATAAATACTCCTTATGTGGAATCGGCAGATGAAGCTTTAGAATGCTCTTATAGATCTTTCGAGATTGCCAATGCAACATATATAGCTGGAGGATCTAAATTATATTCACCACACTTATCTGTGACTACTAAAATGGTAGTCAAACAGCTTACCAAGATGGGATGGCGACCTGAAGTCGGACTTGGGAAGAACCTGCAAGGAATTACGAAGCCATCGGCCATATATGAAAAGAGAGACAGGTTTGGCTTGGGATATAAGCCAACAAGAGGGGACAGAGTAAGAATGATGAATGAGAAAAGAGATAAGAGGATAGCTAATCTTAAGGGATATGAGCTGGAGTCAGAGCCGATAGTCATTCCATACCTTTATGATTCTTTTCACTCGGGAGGATACATTTATTCAGATTTACCGAGAGCCCCAAGTGCAGGATTCATGGAAAAATTTTCAGAGCTGGCCATTCAAATGGTGGATGATGGAGAAAAGAAGAGTCGAAGTGAAGAGCTATTCGTGTACCCTTGTCCTTCAGATTTTGAGTTGGATAATTGGAAAGTTACAGAGCTGCCTGTTGCCTTTAAAACTTTGGAAAAGTAATGTGAAACTTAAAATCTCTAATTACTTTCTACGAGTATTAGGAGATCTTTTATGGTGTGTTTATGTTTGTCATTTTAATAAAAGACTTAGAAGATGCATCCGTATTTTTTCTGTCATTTTTATCTTCGTTTTACCTTTCATCCTTTTCTTTCCTACATTTTCTTGCCATTCCATTTTTGTGTGCCAATATTCTCTCCATATTACCCTTTGCAGGGTCTCAAACAATGAACATGAGGATAATCATGGCATTAATCTCGGATTTGATTTTGAAAACTTAATTCATGTTGATGAACTTGATAATGAGGAAGATTCAGATAACTATACACTGCCTCTTGATTTGTTAAAATTAATAGAACATGAAGATAAGCCAATTGAACCCCACCAAGAAATTACTGAATCAGTAAATTTGAGAGATGGTGAGAATAAAAGAGAGGTCAAAGTTGGTACATCTCTTTTACCAGCTGAAAGACAGAAGCTAGAAGAGCTGCTACGAGAATATGTAGATGTGTTCGCATGGACTTACCAGGATATGCCAGGACTCAGCACTGATATTGTAGAGCACAAGTTACCTTTAAAACCAGGATGTAAGCCGATGCAGCAAAAGCTAAGGCGCATGAAACCAGAGATGCTGCTGAAAATTAAAGAGGAAGTGAAGAAACAATTCGATGCTGGATTTTTAGAAGTGGCAAAATATCCTGAATGGGTAGCCAACATAGTGCCAGTTCCTAAGAAGGATGGAAAAGTGAGAATGTGTGTTGATTATCGAGATTTGAATAGAGCAAGCCCTAAGGATAACTTTCCTTTACCTCACATCGATACTCTAGTGGATAATACTGCTAGGCACTCCACATTTTCCTTTATGGATGGTTTCTCAGGCTATAATCAGATCAAGATGGCTCGAGATGATATGGAGAAAACTACATTTGTGACCATGTGGGGAACATTCTGTTACAAAGTCATGCCTTTTGGGTTGAAAAATGCTGGTGCTACTTATCAAAGAGCAATGGTGACTCTTTTTCATGACATGATGCATAAAGAGATAGAAGTGTATGTAGATGATATGATTGCAAAATCTCGTGAAGGAAATGATCATATAGTCAGTCTCAAAAAGCTGTTCGACAGGTTGAGAAGATTTCAGTTGAAGTTGAATCCTGCCAAATGTACATTTGGAGCCAAATCAGGAAAACTATTGGGCTTTGTAGTCAATGAAAAAGGAATTGAAGTTGATCCAGATAAGATACAAGCCATTCAAAACTTATCTCCTCCTCATACCTCAAAAGAAGTGCGAGGCTTCTTAGGGAGATTAAATTATATTGCTCGCTTCATCTCTCAACTCACTTATAAGTGTGATCTTATTTTCAAGCTTCTCAGAAAACATGATCCTGGAGAATGGAATGATGAATGCCAAGAAGCTTTTGATAAGATCAAAGAATACTTGTCAAATCCACCTGTGTTGGTGCCACCAATGCCAGGAAAACCTTTGATTTTATACTTGACAGTGCATGAAAATTCAATGGGATGTGTGTTGGGGCAAAGAGATGAAACTGATAAGAAAGAACGAGCAATTTACTACTTGAGCAAGAAGTTCACTGATTATGAGTCAAAGTATTCACCATTAGAGAAGATGTGTTGTGCATTAACCTGGACAGCTCGAAGGCTTAGACAATACATGCTTTATCACACTACTTGGCTCATAGCAAAGCTGGATCCTATTAAGTATATCTTCGAAAAGCCCTCATTGACAGGAAGAATAGCACGGTGGCAAGTTATGCTTTCAGAATATGATATCATTTACGTGACTCAAAAAGCTATTAAAGGGAGTGCAATAGCTGAATTCCTTGCTGATCGTGCAGTCGAAGATTATGAGCCAATGAAATTAGATTTTCCTGATGAGGATGTGATGGCCATTGAAGAAAATGAACCTGTTGAAAAATCATGGAGGATGTATTTTGATGGAGCTGCTAATGCTTTGGGTCATGGTATTGGGGCAATTTTGATATCTCCTGATGGACATTATTACCCCATCACAGCCAGATTAAATTTTAATTGCACAAACAATGTGGCTGAATATGAGGCCTGTGTTATGGGTCTACAAGCAGCAATTGAAAAGAAGATCAAAGTGTTAGATGTGTTTGGAGATTCAGCTTTAGTCATCTATCAGTTACGAGGTGAATGGGAAACAAGAGACTCTAAGTTGATTCGTACCATAAATACATCTCTGAGTTGGTAAGCAATTTAAAGAAGTTCAGTTTGAGCATCTACCTAGAGAGGAAACCAAATTGCTGATGCACTGGCTACTCTAGCTGGCAATGATCAAAATAGATGCAAATACTGAAATCCAACCCATTAAGCTGGATGTGAAAGATGTACCAGCACATTGCCTCAAGTGTTGAAAAAAAAATTGATGGAAGGCCATGGTATCATGATATCATGCAATACATTAAAAGCCAGCAATACCCAGAACATGCAACTGAAAATGATAAGAGGACTATTAGAAGATTGGCTATGAATTTCTTCATTGACGGAGGATATCCTTTACAAAAGAGGTCGAGATCAAGTGCTCTTAAGATGTGTAAATGCAGCTGAAGCAAGAAGATTATTGAAGAAGTGCATGATGGAGTTTGTGGGGCACATGCAAATGGTCATATGATGGCTAGGACAAATTATGAGGGCTGGCTATTATTGGTTGACAATGGAGAGTGACTGTATTGATTATGCTAGGAGATGTCATAAAATGTCAGATTTATGCTGACAAGATTCATGCTCCACCATCAACATTACATGTTTAGCTCCTCCCTGGCCATTCTCAATGTGGGGCATGGATGTCATTGGTCCCATCACTCCAAAAGCTTCGAATGGGCATAGATTCATTTTTGTGATGATTGATTACTTCACCAAATGGGTAGAGGCTGCATCATATGCTAGCGTGACCCGATCTGTGGTATGTAAGTTCATGAAAAGAGAGATAATATGCAGATATGGGCTTCCGGAGACAATTATTTCTGATAATGCCAAAAACTTGAACAACAAAATGATGAATGAAGTATGCACTCAGTTCAAGATCCGCCATCGTAATTCGACACCATATCGTCCAAAAATGAATGGGGCAGTGGAGGCTGCGAATAAGAATATCAAGAGAATCCTGGAGAAAATGACTGAAACTTACAAAGATTGGCATGAGAAGTTACTTTTGCCTTGCATGCTTATAGAACATCAGTCAGAACGTCTACTGGAGCCACACCGTTCTCTTTGGTATATGGTATGGAAGCTGTGCTACCAGTCGAAGTGGAAATTCCTCACTGAGAGTCCTGATGGAGGTGGAGTTAGAGGAAGCAGAATGGGTCCGAAAATCGCTACGAGCAGTTAAACCTTATTGAGAGAAAAGACTGTCAGCACTTTGTCATGGTCAATTATATCAAAAGAGGATGATGAGAGCACATGACAAGAAAACTCGTCCCCGTTGCTTTAGGGAAGGAGACTTAGTGCTAAAAAGATTCCTTCCAAATCAACATGATAATCGGGGAAATGGACACCAAATTGGGAAGGCCCGTATGTGGTGAAAAGGCTTTTTCTGGCGGGGCATTGATTTTGGCAGAAATGGACGGAGGTGATTTGCCTACCCCAATAAATTCAGATGTTGTGAAGAAATATTTTGCTTAAAAAAAAGAAAAAAAGAAAAAATGATGACTTATCTAAGTTGAAAACCTGAAAAGGCGGCTTAGATGTGAAGCAAAAGCATCATCAAGAAAAGATCTCACAATGCAGGGGCAAGTGTAGTTTGATGAACTCTGAATAATCAAGGAAGTCATCTGATTTAGTTTTAGAGAAAGAATCTGAGAATATTTTGTTCATGATTATCTTGTGATCATTCTTTTGACACCTTTATTTCAATTCAAACACTTTGACATACACTTGTTATCAGCCATAAGAAATACATTATCCTTCATTTGAAATAATGCCTATCCTTTCCTTTATCCTTATTTGATATTTTTTATCCATCAGAGAAATGTGTGATTGCATTTTATTTGTCTTGAACTTAAAATGATGAAAAGAAAAACAAACATGAAAGATCTCAGCATTACTTTTAAAGTTGACAAAGGCAAATGAAAAAGGATGAGAAAAGCATGACAAGACATTGATGTTGCAGACTTTTGAAGAAAAAATATTGTGGTCAGATGTTGAAGACAGATTGGTCATATAAGAATTTGGATAAAAGAAGCTGAAAGCGAGAGATTTTGAGAACCTTTTTACTACAATGAACGATTTTGATTGCATTACATGCATTGCATCATGAGCACTCAGTACATGCATCCATGAGAAGTTGTAACAAAGATAGAAATTTTCCTTTTCTTAATGAAAAAACAAGATTTTGGTAAAGACAATGATCAAACAAAGGAATTCAAAAGAGAGGAATTTACTTGTTCAAAGATGAAAACTCAAATTTGAAAACAAATGAGATTTTTAAAGTTGTTGAGCCTCTGTTGAGAGGAGCTTTTTCAAGAAAGAATTTTAAAGTGTGTGAGCCTCTGTTGAGAGGAGCTTTTTCAAGAAAGAATTTTAAAGTTGTGAGCCTCTGTTGAGAGGAGCTTTTCAAAGAGAATTTTAAAGTTGTGAGCCTCTGTTGAGAGGAGCTTTTTCAAATGAATTTTAAAGTTTGGAGCCTCTGTTGAGAGGAGCTTTTTCAAGAGATTTTAAAGTTGTGGAGCCTCTGTTGAGAGGAGCTTTTTCAAGATGAGAATTTTAAAGTTGTTGAGCCTCTGTTGAGAGGAGAATTTTAAAGTTGTGGAGCCTCTGTTGAGAGGAGAATTTTAAAGTTGTGGAGCCTCTGTTGAGAGGAGCTTTTTCAAGAAGAATTTTAAAGTTGTTGAGCCTCTGTTGAGAGGAGCCCTTTTCTGTAAAACCAAAAAAATAACACAATTTATTTTCGGACAAAATCATTGTCTTTGTCTTTGCCCTATTCCTGATTCTCAGAAATGTGCAAAGAGGGCAGCTGTAGACACCAATTTTGTCGGGTCTACTATTTTATTTTTTTTTTATAATAATAATAATATTTAAAAAAACAAAACAAAAAAAAAAAAAAAAAACAAACAGAAAAAAACAAAACAAGTAAAACAAACAAAAAAAAAGAAAGAAGTCAAGGAGTTGGTGCGAGCCGAGCACCTCGACCAACTCCTTGACCATCTCCTTATCAGCAACCCAACCACCCCCCCGACCAGCTTTCTGCCACCACCCTATAGCTACCAACTAACCACCCTACAACCAGCAAAATCCCACTTAATTGAAACTCTAATAAAATCAACACATAAACTTCAAAAAAAAAAAAAAGGGAAAAATTTTTCAGCGTGAGAGCTCTGAAACAAAAAAAAAATTTTTCTAGCTTGAGGGTTCGGAACGAAAAATTTCGATCTACCCACCCAAACACCCAAATACCCAAACACAAAAACCAACCCAAAACAACCATAAACAGAACGCCACAAAAAAAAAAAAACGAAACAAAAACCAAAAAAATAACACAGTCCTCGCCTACGCGCGAGGAACCTCAGCCGAGCCACCTGCAAAGCCAAGAAATCATCAGTTTCGCCAAAAAAAAAAAAGAAGAAAAATCGAAACTTCAAAACCCGATCACGCGAATCAAGGCCGTTTTTGGTGAAAAAGAGGTCAGATCTGTGTGCCAGGGGTCGAGAAGAGTTCGTGGGAAGAATTTTGGGTTTTTCGACCACCGGAAACGACGGTCGGCGACCGGAAAACGCGGCGCACGACGGCCGGCCGGCGTGCGCGCTGAAGAAGAAGGAGAAAAAAAAAAAAGGGTTGTTCTTTTTTCTGAAGACCGAAAAAATGACGCAAAATTTTTTTTTTTGACTTTATATATATTATCAATAGCCAAAACGACGTCGTTTCAATAAAACCAAAAACGACGCCGTTTTAACCAAAGAAGAATCCGCGCGTTGACCCGAACCCACCCGAAGATCCGCGCAACCCGACCATCGACCCGTTCCAGCCAGCCTTGAACCGGTTCATACGAACCGCCTATCGACCGCCGAACGGTCAGATCGCCCGAACCGCCGATCCAACCGCCGCAACCGGTCAGATCACCCGGACCATCGTTGACCGACCGTTGACCGGTCCGGCTTCAGGTAAAAAAAATTTTTTTTTTTTTTTTGAAATTTCTAAATTTTTTTTTATATTATTATTTTTGTTATTTTAAATATATTTTATATTTATGCATGATAAATTTATAAATTTGTTAGAATAAATGTTTAATCGTTTTAATAATAATAAAATTAAAAACAAATAATAATTAAAATATATTAAAATGCTTTAAAATAATAATAATAATTTTCCCTGCCTAGATGTTGGAGGGAATAAAAATATTTTTCTAAAACAATAATTCTGCCTAGATGTTGGGGAATTATTGTTAATAATAAATAAACATAAGAAATTTTTAATTAATTTTCAAAAATTATTAAAATCGAACTTGCTTCAAAAATCCGCCTAGATGTTGGGGATTTTTAGAGATGTTCGTATTTTCTTAAAAAACGAAACCTTAAGCGCTATTTCTTAATCCTAGGTTTCTAAAACCCTTAAAAATCCAAAATCCATTAAATCCAAAACCGCTCGAAATCCAAAATCCTTGAAGTCCAAAGTCCGAAAAATCCTAAGGACACGTGTGAAAATTCTATTGGAAGCAATTTGTTCCCGAATGCCGCCTAGATGATGGGGTATTTAGGAAATTTTACTTCATTAAGTCTTTTCACACGAGTTCATAATTCATATTAATAATAAGATTAATAAATAAAAAAGTATAATAAAATTGGGATTTTAAATATAAACAGTCGCACCTAAGCTCTGCCTAGATGTTGGAGAGTCGGGGTGGTCTCATTATATTTAAGAATCCAACTCTTAAATTGCATTTTATTAAAAATAAGATTAATAAATAAAAAGTATAATAAAATTGGGATCTTAAATATAAACAGTCGCACCTAAGCTCTGCCTAGATGTTGGAGAGTCGGGGTGATCTCATTATATTTAAGAATCCAACTCTTAAATTGCATTTCATTTTACATGATATTCATTAGCATACATACGTTATCGTATTATCATCAATAATTGTCTGCATTATTCTCTCTTTAATTTACTCATGGTACTCTGCCTAGATGTTGGAGAGTCACCAACAATTTTCTGTAAAGAGTGTTATTTCATTTTAAGGATTGTTGTGTTAAATCTTAAGCGAAAATGGTTACTTTAAATTCTGCCTAGATGTTGGAGAATTTTAAGATAATTCTTTAACTTAAAGATTTTCTCAATATTCCTAAATAAAAATTTTAGCAAAAAAAAAGAATATTTTTTTAAATAAAGGAAATTAATGTTAAATTTCAAATTAAAACCATTTTTATCCGACATTGAAAATAGCGCATAGTTGAATGGTACCAATTTATGGACGTTGTGGGGGTGCTAATCCTTCCCCACGCGTAACCGACTCCCGGACCCAACCTGATTTTTCGTAGACCGAAATATATCTTTTTGATAAACTTTAAACAACCCGTTTTTATAGTTTTATTAAAAAGATAAACTTTTGGGTGGCCAATCACACCCTAATAAAGATTGGTGGCGACTCCCTCTTTTTTTATTTTTAGAATTTAGCAATAAAAAAAGCATAAGAATTTGAGCTGGTAAGTAATTTAATTATTTTACCACACTATACTTATTGTGCTTAATAAGTTTCAAGAACTCACAAGCTTTTTTTTTATAACTAAATTCTTACATTCTTAGTCTAGGACTAAGGCTGGGTGAGTTTCTTGATTGTTGGATGATTTATTTTTTTTAAGCTCATTTACCATTCATTTGCTTTTTCTTTTCCTACTCTCTCAAGTGTTTCTAGGGTATAACATTGTCCACTTCAAGTTATGCCCTTTACACTAGTTATATTTGC